ACAGCTGGATTCTCCCCGCGTTTGCAGCCCAAAACTCGAGACAGGATGTCTTGCACCAATAGGCATGTGATTGGAAAGGAAAGAAACTCGTTTGGCTTCATTTCAGTTCTTCACTTGGCATGCGGCGACCCACCCCTCTCTTTGAGCCACCAATACTGGTACACCGACCTGAGCTCAACTGAAATATGTATGTGTGGACGAGGTGCTCCCCGCCGGTCAAAAAGTGCAAGTCGCCTGCTGCCTGATGAACCAATAAACAAATGAACTGCTCTCTTGATTGGCACACGCAAGCCGCTTTGCCATAAGACCCATCTGCATCGATTGACCTGTCTATATAGACGGTGAAGGCTCCAAAAACAGGGAAGCGTTCCGTATGGTTCTCCGGTTCTCTGTTGGAACGGGTTGATAAAGCGACAAACAGTATGCTGTGGCCCCTGAGTCTGCGATCCAACAACGCTTCCCATTTCCCTAAAAAAGTCCGGGTAAATCCCGATGGCCTGGACGAAGCGCGTGTGACACAAAGTAAACGGAGTCGTACATGTCCGTGCAAACGTGTCAATGTCAAACCACAATGGCCGCCCTTTTGAAATATTGAACAACACAAATTTTCCGAACATGCCAGCAAGACCCGAACCCCCATTTCAATGAGTTTCTTCTGGGAAGGAAATGCTAGTGACGTATCCGATGCCTACGCTGGCGCATTCGCCATGGTGCAAATACCATGCGGGACAGCTAAAGCAAGGTGCACGCCAGCCATAAAACGCCTACGTCCGCCCACGCGGCTGGAGTTTTGCTCTCAAAGTGCCTACGCTGTGTGTCTGTGTGTGTGCTAAAACTCGTATGTGCGCCTTCTGGCAAACTGCCAAGTCGATCCTAAGCCTATACGCGAGAAGCTCCCTAGCCGACTGAGGACTGTCAAAAAGTGGCTACCCTCGCCTACGCACATGCAGCTATATGCCTCCGTGAAGCCTGATGATATGTCTACTCTCCTGTTGCCCCTTTACTACCATTCATAAAACAACTCGCTCGTTACAGGCCAGTCAGACTTGAGCTCATTACAAAGATAAAACCGCTTTGTCAAGGAAACCAACGCTGTTTCGAAAGATGCCAATAGAAGTCGCCGCTTAATCCACGCTAGGAAACAAAACTGTATCAAACCGCGCTGTCGAAGCAAAGTTTGGCAAGATGCAGTCTCTGAACGTCGTTGTCTTGTTCCGTTCCTGCTCCCGTAGTCGTGGCTCCTACTGTGTCTGCTGTTGGCCCGTTCTCTGCTCCTGTAGTTTGTTGTGCTGAGGCTGATGCTGCTTCTCCTGACATGTCGCAGTAGTTTGCCATGTAATTGCTGTTGCAGTGGTTGTAGTACTTGCTGCTGAGTACTGGAGCTCCCCTATGTTTAGGATCTCAGCTCCGCTACCACGTTAAAATTGGTTGATACTGTTACTACAAGTGCAGTAGTGTTCAAACAAACAATCAATGTAGCCTGCAGCTGCCAACCTTTTGACTCATGCGATGTAGTGAGCTCAAGGCGTGCAGTAGTGAACATACATGCAACACAAATGAAGGAAGTGAAGCATGTAGTTTGACAACTCACTCACTCGCTCGCTCGCTCACTCACTCACTCAGTCTCACTCACTCACACTCACTCACTCACTCACTCTCTCTCTCTCTCTCTCTCTCACTCACTCACTCTCACTCACTTCACTGCCTCCCTCACTCACTTCACTGCCTCCCTCACTCACTCACTCACTCACTTCACTGCCTCACTCACTTCACTCACTTCACTCACTCACTCACTCACTCACTCACTCACTCACTCACTCACTCACTCACTCACTCACTCACTCACTCACTCACTCACTCACTCACTCACTCACTCACTCACTCACTCACTCACTCACTCACTCACTCACTCACTCACTCACTCACAACACTCACTCACTCACTCACTCACTCACTCACTCACTCACTCACTCACTCACTCACTCACTCACTCACTCACTCACTCACTCACTCACTCACTCACTCACTCACTCACTCACTCACTCACTCACTCACTCACTCACTCACTCACTCACACTCCCTCACTCACTCACTCACTCACTCACTCACTCACTCACTCACTCACTCACTCACTCACTCACTCACTCACTCACTCACTCACTCACTCACTCACTCACTCACTCACTCACTCACTCACTCACTCACTCACTCACTCACTCACTCACTCACTCTCTCACTCACTCACTCTGTCTCTCTCTCACACTCTCTCACTCTCACACTCTCACACTTTCACACTCACACGCGCACTCTCTCACACACTCACACTCTCACACTTTCACACTCACACTCGCACTCTCTCACACACTCACACTCTCACGCGCTCTCACGATCTCACGCACTCATGCGCTCGCGCAGTCATGCACTCACGTTCACCCACTCACCTCACCACACCTCACCTCACATCACCTCACATCACCTCACTCACCCACCCACTCGCTCACTCTGCTGCTCACGGGCAACACCTCGCTTGGCGTCCCTTTTCTGTGCTGAGTCTTTCACGCAGTTCCAGCTTCATTGTCCGCAAGAAAACATCTGGTCGTCAAAGCAAGGACCTTCGCAGCCGCCAACCGGGCATCTTTGGCGAGTTGGGGAGTCAATGGCTTTCAATTTACCAGCGCCAAAGCTAGCTCTGGAAAGGAAAGGGAAAACCTGGCATGAAAGTTTGTTCAAAAGCTGCGAAAGGCACGCAAGCCATGGGGAGAAGGGGGTCAATGCGCGGAGTGCGGCTTTGCAACACTCCTTCCTGGCGAAATCAAGCTGGAGCTACCACGGACATGGGGCGTGCCAGTGGGTTCTCCGACAAACCCTAGCGCTTTAGGCAGAAGTTCACAAAGGGAACTGAACACTTGCAATTCCAAGCATCCTCTTGCAAGCTACCGTGATGTGCCAGCCACTGAAGCAAATGCTAGGATTAGCCTTCATCATTCAAGAAACGCATGCCAACATGCCCAAGCCTTCAAAGAGTGGGGGTGAGGGAAGTTGCGGAGCCGGCGCAAGGCAAGGCCTCCAACTCGAAAGGTGTGAGCGCCTGCGCAGTCCGACCAGTCGCGGCTGGGTCAAGCGGTTCCGCGTGCTCAAGTTCCAGTGAGTAGTGTGAAGCCAGCTGGAGCCAATGCTCGACCACAGCATCATTGAAGTGAATACAGCATCATTGAAGTGAATTTCAACGCGGCCTTGAAAGTCTTGACAGCGCCTGATTTCGCCGGTCGCAACTTGAATCAAGGCTCTTGCAAATCATGTGAAAAGGCTGCAGCATTTAGCCGGCATCCTCTGAAAACTAGAGATTAAAGCCTGTGGTAACCTGGGCCTACAGCACCCTTGGGCATTGCCATTCATCGAGTTGCACCCCGACGCGCCAGCCTTCATAGCAGTCTCAAGTGGCAACTTGCCACGAAGTTCTGGGCAGCTCTGTGCTTTGCTCAAGTGAAGAAAGCATGCTGCTCTTCATCCAGCAAGCCAGAACATGTCGCATTCCAAGCAATCTCGTGCGAATGCTAGACCAAGACTGCATCATTGAATTGAGTCCCAACGCGTGCTAGCCTTGAAGCCTTACAGGCTGGGAAGCTGCGTTGCTGCGGTCGAAGGCAAACGTCCAACTCAACAGGTGTGAACGCAAGCGAAGGCCGCTGTGTCTGCCAACAGCAGTCCATAGCTGAATCTGGCCACGCTGTGGGCAGAGCCAAGCCGGTTGGGTCCAACTGCTCCCTGATTTGCTCAAGTCAACATGATTCTCCTCGTGCCATCTAACACAAACCGCATTCCAAGCAGCCCTAGAACAGGACAAAAACGAGCTGGTATGCTACGGTGTGTGAGCGCTGAAGCGAGTCTCAGCATTGTGATAGCTGCTTTGCTGGCAGGATCCACAAAGCTTAGCATCGAAACTCGCGCAGCTGGAACTGAACAAAGCTCTGGGCACAGCCAGTTGGCTTCAACACCACTTGCAAATGGCAAAATCATTGCTAGTCGCTGCCATCCGAGCAGCACCTGCGGCCTCTCAATTTAAGCCGCGGGTCTGGAGATACGAAGCTTCCCCAAAATGCGACCTCCTGCGAGCGTTCTTGAGGCGAAGCCAGGCACATGGTTGAATAACTCCCTACGCGCGCCAGCCTTGAAAGCGTAAGGTCTGATTTGACAGAACTTCGCAACCACTACGGCTCCCTTGGTCACAAACGCATCAAAAGGTGGCAGCACCGAGCCATCTGGGAACTAGAGGAAGGCGGCCTGTCGCAGGAAGGGTCAATAGCCCTCCGGGCATTTGCAAAGCATGCCTTGCGGCGGATGTAGCTTCACCTTGGCACGTGATGCTCGCAGTGGTCAGAAAGTCAAAAAGTAAGAAAGTTTGGATGTGGCGCTGCCGGTGCTGCAATAGGTGCGAGCACATGCCCAAGCCAACAGTAATGTGCCCAGCAGTACTGTGGCTGCCAGCCACAGCAGCTGTCTCCAGCTGCAGCTTGCCACGAAATTCTTGGCTCAAGCCAAGCCACATTGAACAAGGTTGTAGATGTGGTCCACATTTACTCAGACATGGATGCGGCCTTAAGCATCATGGAGGGAGACCTTGCGCAAGTCGCCAAAGTGTTGTGGCGCTTGTCCGACCCCATCTAGGCGCTGACTCCTTTTGATTTGTCCTTCCCAGCTCGCTCAGAATCTCCTCCGTGCTCTCGTACAAGCAGACTGTAAAATCCATCCGGCTCCAAGAGCCGGTGAGGCAAGGTGTGCAAACGTTTGCGAAGGCACATCTACAACTTGCAACAAAAGGCCAGCCAAAGTTTGTGAACCCAGCCGGCCTTATGCGAACCCACGGAGGTTAGGCGAACCCTTTGCGAGCTGTAGGCAGGCTAGGCGAACCTGTGCGAACGCATTTCTACTGCTGCCACTAAGTACTGGCCACATAGGGTATGCTCTGATAAACTGGTCGGAATTCCTCAACAGCGCCAGAATTAGGAAGATGCGGCAAGGCAAAGCATCAAACGCGAAAGGTGAGAGCACATGCCCAAGCCAACAGTAATGTGGCCAGCAGTACTGTGGCTGCCAGCCACACCAGCTGCCTCAAGCTGCAACTTGCCACGAAGTTCTGGGCACAGCCAAGCCAGCCGGCTCCGAGCGCTATGTGCTTTGCTAGTCGGGACAGCATGATGCTCCTCGTGATGCCGTCTAAGGCTGGGAAAAGCCGCTGAGGAACTGCTTCTATGGGCAAGCGTCGCTTCTTTGTGCCTCAGATAACATTTTGTGCTTTCACGGGCGACTTTAGGCGACCAAAAGGCGACGTTCCCAAAAAAAGAAGAAAAGCGGTGCAGCAGGAGGCTCTTGCGCGCGAAGCCAGCCACTAAGCAAATGCTAAACCAAGACTGCATCATTGAATTGAGTCCCAACGCGCGCTAGCCTTGACAGAACAACTGCTGGAAAGTTGCGGCGCTGCGGTTGCTGCAAGGCAAACGTCCATCTCAAAAGGTGTGAACGAACGCGCAGGCCAGGCGTCTTGTCGCGAAACTCTGGTAAAAGCCGCCAAGCGTGTCGAGTCCAACGTCTCCTTGCCTTGCTCAAGTCCAGGCAACATGATAGATTCTCCTCACGACGCCATCTGATTCCAAGCAGCCCAAGACATGGGCAAATCGAGTTGGTAGTCGCTGCCCGAGAAAATGAGTAAATCAAGTTGGTATTCTGTCTCAGCCGTATGATAGCTGCTTGGCTAGCAAGCTCCACAAAGCTTAGTATGAAACGCGCGCAGCCTGAATTTCACAAAGCTCGGGGCACAGTTGGCTTCAACACCACTGATGGCCCGCGGTCATTGCAAATCATCTGAGAAGCGCCCGCGCCCTCTCATTTTCAATCTGGAACCTGTGAGCATTCCTGCGCAGCCAGCCACTAAGCAAACACCAACACCGCCTTGAAAGTGCCAGGGCTTGGAGGTTGCGGTGGCGCTGCAAGACAAGGCAGTCGACTCAAAAGCTGTAAGCACGGTGTGGCCAACAACGATAGCAGTCTGAAGCTGAAGCTTCCCGCGTTCTGGGCACGGCCAGGCTGCTTGGGTCCGATGGGTCGGTGCTTTGCTCAAGGCAACATGCTCCTCACGCCTATGCCCTCTGACACTCCAGCCTGAGCAATCCCACAAGCGCACTCCCAGCCACTCCCATGGTGTCTTGAACGGTAGCCTCGGTAGCCTTTCCTCTCCAAAACAAATAGCAATACGTGAAGTACCCCAGGTCCTGGGATTGCGCAAAGTTCAGTAGCAACCACTCCTTCCATCAACACGCTCAGAGGCTTGTGCTGCTTCCCGCTGGCCAGAAGCGATAAGGCAAAGGGATACAAACTGCCCCATCTTGCGAAGCCGGCCACTGAAGCAAATGCTAGACCAAGGCTGCATCATTCAAGCCAAACATCCAAACACAGGCCAGCCTTGAAAGCGCAAAGGCTGGGAAGTTGCGGCGCTGCCAGCACTGCAAGGCAAGGAGTCCAACTCACAAGGTGTGAGCACTGTGTGCGAACCACAGAAGCAGTCTGAAGCTGAAGCTTCCTGCAGCATTCTGGGCAAAGACAAGCAGGCTGCTTCCAACGGACCTGTGCTTTGCTCAAGGCAAAATGATGCCCCTCATGATGCCATCTAACATTCTTCCTGCAAGCTATAAGCCTGAACATAGCCCATTCCAAGCGACCTCTTGCGAGCTACCTTGGTGAAAAGCGAGCCACTGAAGCAAATGCTAGGCCTAGACTGCATCATTGAGTTGTGCAGCCTTGAAAGAAGCGGAATTGCTGCGAAGTTTTGGCTCTGCCGGTGCTGCAAAGCAAGGCATCCAACTCATAAGGTGGGAGCACTGTCTGCGAAAACCCCAGTAGCAGTCTGAAGCTGAATCTCGGTGTGGCGCTTTGCTCAAGTCAGGGCAACGTGATGCTCCTCTCACCATCTAACACTCCTCCTCCTGCAGGCCTGAACATATCCCATTTGAAGCAGCCTCTTCCCAGCTACCTTGGTAACTTGACGCCACCGTGCTGCTTCTTTGCTTTAGGTCCGCTGAAGCTTGCCCAGGACAAGGACAGCTCTGAAGACCGCATCCTATGACATTCCACTGCGCACCAGCCTGAACAACGTAAGGGTTGGGAAGTTGCTGCAAGGCAAGGTGTCAAATTCAAAAAGTGTGAGCGCATGCGCAAGCCAGCACCGCTGCGCCCACAGTCGCAGCAGCAGTCTGAAGCTGAAGCTTGCTGCGAAGTGCTGGGCACAGCCAAGCTGGCCGGGGCCAACGGCTCCGTGCTTTGCTCAAGTCAAGGCAATATGATGCTTCTTATGATGCCAGCGAACACTCCAGGAGGGTCCTCCTGCAAGCCCAAACATATCTCGCCAAGGACACTCCCCGCCAGTACCCCCATTTTAGGATGATGGTATCCGTATGACAGAGATGCCTAGCTGTCTACTCGCAAAGATACCTTGGCAGGCCTGCTTCTCCAAGATCGAAGAAACGTACAGCTTACCTCAGAATCTGGGACCCCCACGCCACCACTTCTTCTGTCAGAATTTTGCGCCACCCATTTCTAACTTGGAAGTTGCGAGCGGCATTGGCACTTTCCCGCAAAAGGGCCATTTTCGGAGGATAGTGGGGCCTAGCATGTCGGTCGTCATACTCCATTCTTCGCCACCATCGGTTAACCGTTGATTTGTGGCTCGCCAAGGATAACAGGTTCTTGAATCCCAAGAGCTCCTACAAAAGGATTCTGATGGCACCTTCATGTCGGTTCATCTTCTCTTTACCTTGTATTATTTGTATGGTTTGTTTGTATCTTCTAATTACCTGTCCTTTCCTATATGAATTTCTCTTGCGAGCCACCTTGATAACTTGGCAATGTGCGGCTGGCCATCGCCAATCTGTCTCGCGCAGATGCTACCAGCCGCGTGCTTCGACCCTGAAGGTCAGCACGCTTTACCGAACAACCCCTGCGAAACAGGCACATAGGTGCATCGAGCCCTCGGAAACTTGGATTTTCCGTCCAACTGGCTGACTGGCTCACTGCCCTGGTCAATGAGCGCCAACTGAGGTAAACCAGGTTCTCTCATATGAGGGGAACAGCTGGATTCTCCCCGCGTTTGCAGCCCAAAACTCGAGACAGGATGTCTTGCACCAATAGGCATGTGATTGGAAAGGAAAGAAACTCGTTTGGCTTCATTTCAGTTCTTCACTTGGCATGCGGCGACCCACCCCTCTCTTTGAGCCACCAATACTGGTACACCGACCTGAGCTCAACTGAAATATGTATGTGTGGACGAGGTGCTCCCCGCCGGTCAAAAAGTGCAAGTCGCCTGCTGCCTGATGAACCAATAAACAAATGAACTGCTCTCTTGATTGGCACACGCAAGCCGCTTTGCCATAAGACCCATCTGCATCGATTGACCTGTCTATATAGACGGTGAAGGCTCCAAAAACAGGGAAGCGTTCCGTATGGTTCTCCGGTTCTCTGTTGGAACGGGTTGATAAAGCGACAAACAGTATGCTGTGGCCCCTGAGTCTGCGATCCAACAACGCTTCCCATTTCCCTAAAAAAGTCCGGGTAAATCCCGATGGCCTGGACGAAGCGCGTGTGACACAAAGTAAACGGAGTCGTACATGTCCGTGCAAACGTGTCAATGTCAAACCACAATGGCCGCCCTTTTGAAATATTGAACAACACAAATTTTCCGAACATGCCAGCAAGACCCGAACCCCCATTTCAATGAGTTTCTTCTGGGAAGGAAATGCTAGTGACGTATCCGATGCCTACGCTGGCGCATTCGCCATGGTGCAAATACCATGCGGGACAGCTAAAGCAAGGTGCACGCCAGCCATAAAACGCCTACGTCCGCCCACGCGGCTGGAGTTTTGCTCTCAAAGTGCCTACGCTGTGTGTCTGTGTGTGTGCTAAAACTCGTATGTGCGCCTTCTGGCAAACTGCCAAGTCGATCCTAAGCCTATACGCGAGAAGCTCCCTAGCCGACTGAGGACTGTCAAAAAGTGGCTACCCTCGCCTACGCACATGCAGCTATATGCCTCCGTGAAGCCTGATGATATGTCTACTCTCCTGTTGCCCCTTTACTACCATTCATAAAACAACTCGCTCGTTACAGGCCAGTCAGACTTGAGCTCATTACAAAGATAAAACCGCTTTGTCAAGGAAACCAACGCTGTTTCGAAAGATGCCAATAGAAGTCGCCGCTTAATCCACGCTAGGAAACAAAACTGTATCAAACCGCGCTGTCGAAGCAAAGTTTGGCAAGATGCAGTCTCTGAACGTCGTTGTCTTGTTCCGTTCCTGCTCCCGTAGTCGTGGCTCCTACTGTGTCTGCTGTTGGCCCGTTCTCTGCTCCTGTAGTTTGTTGTGCTGAGGCTGATGCTGCTTCTCCTGACATGTCGCAGTAGTTTGCCATGTAATTGCTGTTGCAGTGGTTGTAGTACTTGCTGCTGAGTACTGGAGCTCCCCTATGTTTAGGATCTCAGCTCCGCTACCACGTTAAAATTGGTTGATACTGTTACTACAAGTGCAGTAGTGTTCAAACAAACAATCAATGTAGCCTGCAGCTGCCAACCTTTTGACTCATGCGATGTAGTGAGCTCAAGGCGTGCAGTAGGGAACATACATGCAACACAAATGAAGGAAGTGAAGCATGTAGTTTGACAACTCACTCACTCGCTCGCTCGCTCACTCGCTCACTCAGTCTCACTCACTCACACTCACTCACTCACTCACTCTCTCTCTCTCTCACTCACTCACTCACTCACTCTCACTCTCTCTCACTCACTCTCACTCACTCACTCACTCACTCACTCACTCACTCACTCTCTCTCACTCACTCACTCACTCACTCACTCACTCACTCACTCACTCACTCACTCACTCACTCACTCACTCTCTCACTCACTCACTCACTCTCTCACTCTCTCTCTCACTCACTCACTCACTCACTCACTCACTCACTCACTCGCACTCACTCACTCACTCACTCACTCACTCACTCACTCACTCACTCACTCACTCACTCACTCACTCGCACTCACTCACTCACTCACTCACTCACTCACTCACTCACTCACTCACTCACTCACTCACTCACTCACTCACTCACTCACTCACTCACTCACTCACTCACTCACTCACTCACTCACTCACTCACTCACTCACTCACTCACTCACTCACTCACTCACTCACTCACTCACTCACTCACTCACTCACTCACTCACTCACTCACTCACTCACTCACTCACTCACTCACTCACTCACTCACTCACTCACTCACTCACTCACTCACTCACTCACTCACTCACTCACTCACTCACTCACTCTCTCACTCTGTCTCTCTCTCACACTCTCTCACTCTCACACTCTCACACTTTC